GTGAGCATATTATTATCAGTATGAGGATTTGTAGAAATTGCATTATTTTAACATTTAAATCCATGAGATACTATAATATTGGATTTCTTCACCGACTGGCCATTGAATTTTATTGAACAGGCGTTTTAATCCAATTACAGGACTCATTAGTAATGAACACTTGAATGAATTGGTGAAAGCTAAACTATTATTTCTGATCATAGATCCATGATTAATGAAGTTTTTAGGCTAATGTTAATGGTCTGTTTTTCATTCATCGACAAATATGATTTATTCACAGTATTTTTCCGTCACTATTATGCAATAGTGATTGACTGGTTTTTAAAGTAAGCACTGTTTATATCTTGAATGTGTTATCACAACATGAACATTTAATTTAACTTTCCTGATCATTGAAATGATTTTCAGCAGAATGTAATGATTTGTCAAGTTCAGTTCCCCTATTGTACACACTTATAATATTTGACCATACTAAATATGCAGATAGTGAAGACAACTATGACCTAGAAAGCTGTACTGCAAAATATTTAAATAAAGTATTTGCAACTCATATGTACTTGTAAATAGTAGGAGCGACTCAGAGAAACAAATACTCAAAGTGATATTGACTACATAAATAGTCCATTTGCCCACACTTGAATCTAATTTTTTCTACCAGTGTAACTTGCGTGGCTTGGGAAAATCTATCATTGTACGACCATTGATTATTGTATATCGCTCATAAGGTACGGATCTCTAAGTTCAACTTTGATCCCCAGTTTTGTGAGAGGGTGTAACACTATCTAGTTACTTTAATCAAAGTAGGTGAAAAAAACTTAAAATTAAAATATCTTTCATGTCTGTGAAAACGTCAACCAATCAGGTAGATAGATGTTTATTTATTTATTTGAATACATAAATATTGGTACAAAGGGGCTCCGAATACATATGCGCCACACAAATCAACTGATTTGTGTGCAGGCTGTGATACTGCTCTGGTTCCCAGAACGAAGAACGTGGTTTTCTTGAGGAGCCACATCCTGAGCGTTTAACCTAAAGGTCTAATCCACAAGGCAGTGGGGCAACGTCAGGAGATACAGTCCCATGGTAACCGGTGACAAACGATTGGTTCATACGCCATTTGTTCCTTTGGGATACTGGAGCCCATGTGCACCATTGGTTTGGAATCAGGATTTCCCAACTCCTCTAGTTGAACTCTCTATGTTTACCAACCCGGTTAAAGCGCCGGATATCCGCTTTTCATCCTCTGAATTTCGTGAACACAGTAATGCCACGAGAAGGCAGTGAGAAGGACTTCCCTGGTAGTGTCTGTATACGCGTGGCCATGTGAGAGCATTTAGAGACGGAGCGCTGGCTCTCCTTACCCTCGGCCGCATCATGACATTAAGGGGCTCAGGTAGATAGGAAATGAATAAAACAAGCTTACTGTTATTTCATTGTTTTGAAAAGATTCTTAACTGCCTTTCATAAATAAATCATGAATAGGGAGACGCAATTCCCACATACAACTCTGAGATTCTCAGACACGTTTATTCATTTTAAATTTATCACAGTTTATTTAATTTGTATGTACTTGATGAAAAAATGAGACTGAACGAAAGTACTCACTGTAGCACATTATTTCTTTCAATATATATCCAAATTGCTTCTATCACAGATAATATAGGCAGTTAAACCTGTGTAACATTGATGTATCACACTATTTCATCCTAATTAACTATAGATTAGCGTTATGAGTGAATAAAACTGCATCAATTCATCAGATCATCATTTGTCATCGGTTAATTAATAAATTGCTATGTGAACACAGTTTTCAGTTACCGTAAAATTAAATCCCCTCAACTATTACTTATAATAGATCAATCGAGTTATGTAACTGATAGTCTACAACAATGAGGTAACTAGTAAACAGAACATTGCAAAGGTCTAGAAGCTTGAAAATAAAGATATATTAAATCATAATGCAAAGTTACACCCATAGGTCAATATGATATTATTTAAGTCTTACTGTAGACTAAGTCAGTATCATAGTGCATTATGCTTAGTCTATAGAACTGAAAGCTAGATCCTTTGTATTTATAGTTATTAATAGTCAGTACCATATAAGAATTCAGTCTTCACCTTAGTAACACATCTTACAACAGTAATGAATGACGTATATTTCTCACAACTGATTGATCACTGGGTGGTGATCAATGTCATGCTTGTCTAGTCCTTATTAGTGCAGATCGAATGCTATCGATCATGTTGCAATGTGGCCACCAGTCTAGGTGACTCGACACTGCGAGCACTATGTATTGAGATTTAGATGGCATTCGATCTGCACTAATAAGGACTAGACAAGCATGACATTGATCACCACCCAGTGATCAATCAATTGTGATTACATCTCAGTCCTACAGGAGGTTAGTCACGGCTCGGATAGCTCAGTGGTAACGTCTCTGACTGTGAAGCTGGGTGACACGAGATCGAATGCGCCAGGGAGCACCAGTTCCCTCAAGATTGTAGGTACACCTTGCTGACGTGTACCAAGTAGCACGAAACTCGGGTCCAGGGTTTCCTGTTGACTACCTCCAACTGCCATCTAGACGTATATTTCTATTCCAAAAAAGAATATGACTTATGTAGAAAGTTTCTAATAATCTTTCTTTTTTTGATAGGTTCCAAAATACACATACCTTAAATTTAGGCTCTTTTAACAACCACCTTTAATCATACAATGTTTATTACTATTATTATTCACAAAGACTGTATCCTACAGATGATTGATTACTTACTCAATGATTTGATTGAATTCATTTATTATATACATCACAAATGAAGTATATCATTATTTTATTAGGCCATTCTACCGATTTGAACTCACTTCATTCATATATATGTATATATGAATGACAAATAGTAATGAATTAAGTCAAAACAAATGGATCATTCTGAAAGGAAAAAGATGAATGAAAGTTTGATATTCTGACATATTATATATAAATAATTTTAGTAATAACTTTCCTTCATCCAGAAATACCTTTTATACACAGACTTCATATTTTGTTGTTGTTGTTGTTGACATTCAAATAGTACTTTTTGTAAATGACAAAAAATAATGTAATCGATTTTTAAGGACAAATAATTAAAACAAAATTATCAGTTTAGGGGTTGTGGAGATTGATAAGTTTTTGATTGAGATCACAAACCGATTGATGTTGGATCACCACTGAAGACCTGGAAGTACTGGACGGCCATTTCGTCCTATTGTGAGACTCCTCAGCAGTACGCATCCAAGATCCCACTCGTGGGATTTGAACGCAGGGCCTTCAGTCTCGTGCACGAACGCTTAACCTACTGGACCACAGAACCAGCGTCCAATGGTGTTAGTGTCTAACGTCAAACAATCCATGAAGTTCTATTGTACTGAGGTAGACACCCGTTTTTACCCGACATGGATTAGCTCCACTGGTCACGGCTTCTCACCAGAATTCTCGGAATTCTGGTAGGTTAAAATGTCAGTCACTATGGAATTGATGAGAATAAATGAACGAAAACGATATTTAGGATATTGATGCATTTTGCAACAAAAAACAAACAAACATACATACAGAATAGATATCAATAGTTTTGTTTGTGTGTGTTTTGTTAAGGGAAGGAAAAACTCTTACTGTAATTCAGACATATATTTGCTTTTCCTGTTTGTGTATTATCTGTGATAAATACTATCAATATACTTTTTTTGATGGAGGTTTGTTCTCTGTGCTGGATGGTTTAGTCGTGGAGCTTTCATCGCCCTTCTGAACGACATCATCAGCACAAACTTCAGATAGAATATATCTACAAGTATTCTGTCATTCTTAATACACCGACGATCTAATAGTTTACGTATGTATTCTTCTGAAATTTATCCATTCTAGTTATCTTTACCGTAGTTTAAACTGAATTAAAATAATCCATTGTATGATTGAATAAAATTAAATAGAGTTTAGCGAGGAGAATTTTCTTTTCGATGAAATCATCTATTCAAGTTGTATATTCGTATTTATATTTGTATGGTAAATATTTGTGTTTATAGAAGGACAGAAAAGACTCGAGAGATTGCAAATAACAAATGAGGTTATGTAATAATCAGGAGGTAAGAGAAGAATAGAAAGATGAAAATGACTTACAGGTTAGAATGACAAAAGATAATTGTCCATTTGATAAGCAAGTAGATTATTCAATTAACCCAGACCACTGCTCGTATCCTCCTGTCAGTATCAGTTCAAATCCTTATAAATACAACTGAACTATTATTAGATGACTCATGAATTCAACTATTAAATTATTATAATATCCACAAAACCCCTATCTGATTATAATAATCATATGCTCACTAGTGACGGTCTCCAAGAGGTATTTTCTGAAGTTCTAGTGAGAAGCCGTGATCAGTGGAGTACAACCGGGTCTGTTGTGAGATAATAAATCACTGAAGACAATTGTGGATATGTCGCTTAATTTCGTAAATTAGTTGAAGTTAGACATTAACACTAATGGATGCCGGCTCACTGGTCTAGACGTTAAACGCTCGTGTGTGAGACTGATCAATCTTCGGTTCGAATCTCGCGAGGCGGGATCATGTATGCGCACTGCTGAGGAGTCCCAGAATAGAAAGAAACGGCCGTCCAGTACTTCCAGGTTTTTCATGGTAGTCTATCTTCAATTGACTCATGAATTCAGCTATTAAATTATTATTAATTTGTTCAGTAATATAGCTTTTACTTGCTTGTTTGCGCTGAATATGGGTTCAGAAGGGTTATTTTTAGCGAATCGGACGACAAATGATGACATGATTACGTATAGTATATTAGTTTATAGTTGATACTTGTTATCATGCAGGCAATCATACAACATGTACATGATCATAAAGTAATGCATGACACATTTGAAGGGAAATCTTAATGTAGATAGAGCTACACTAATACGTTGTAAACTTACAGAAAAGCAGTGGTTTTGATAAGTTTTCAAAGATAAAAATGGTTCTGTTATTTTTAACCCTCAATGTGACTACTAAAGCAAAGTAAGTTCAGTGTAATTTGTGTTGAGCATTTCGGCGGTAACTAATAAACCTTCTAAACGAAGAAAAACTCATGCATTTTGAACCTTACGATTCCCTTATTTTGAAATGCTTTTTTCCTACAAAATCGATTGGAAACTGTTTTTTTATTGTTAAGACGCTTAACCACTGAATATGAGTTTTAATCAATCGACGATGCATTCAGGTCAAACATTTTAGCATTCGGTTAACCATTATTTTTATTAATATCAGATGGGTTTTGTAGATATAATAATTTCAATTGTTAAGATCATGAGTCAGTTGAAGCTAGACCACCATGAAAATCTTGGAAGTACTGGACGGCCGTTTCGTCCTGGTATGGGACTCCTCAGCAGTGCGCACCCACGACCATTGGAGTTCAACCAGGTCTGTTGTGAGATAGTAACTCACTAAAGACAATGGTGGATGTGTCGCTCATTTTCGTGGATTAGTTGAAGTTAGACATTAACACCGTTGGATGCCGGCCCAGTTGTCTAGTGGTTAAGTGCTCGCGCGTGAAACCAGCATGTCCTGGGTTCGAAACTCGCAGGTGGCGAGGTCGTCGATGCGCACTACTGAGGAGTCCCACAACGGGACGAAACTGCCGTCCAGTAATTCCAAGATTTCCATGGTGGTCTAGCTTCAACTGACTCATGATCTTAACCATTGAGATTATTTTATTCCACAAACGCATTTGTTCAAATCAATAAATACAGTTGTTTCTTAAACACCAAATAAAACAACACTGAAGTACATTAATTCTACTAATAATAAGAGACTAATAGTACTTAGATTTCGTGTCATTTTCAATTTTGTTCCAAATTTTTCATTTATACTTTACAACTGTCATACTCAAAACAATATGATTGACACTACTGATTTAATTAAAAAATATTACTGATTTTAGTCTCTAATATATTCTCTTAAGCGTCAGTATAGGGTTGTGGCGATTATTGAATTATATTTAATTGATATCATGAACCGATCAATTTTAAACCACCATTGCAAACCTAAGAGCACTGGACGGCTGTTTCGTCCAAGTGTGGGACTCTTCAACAGTGTGCATCCACAACCTCTCACACGGGAATCACTCAGTGCTTCCAAGTTTTCAATGGTGGTCTAATATTAATCGTTTCATGATCTTAATAAAAATATAGCGAACAAATGCTATATTAGATTGTTTAAAGTGTTCTGCTCCAAAAAATTGTCTAGATAGTACATTTTTCACGTGTACTAAAGAAATAAAAGGCATCAACCGGAAACTTTTAATTTATTTTTGAGCTGATATCCTTTTGATGTATGAACGGTATTATTAGGGTCATTTCCGGTCCCATAACGGATTGATTATAATCATCTGTAACTAGAGAAAATAAAACGGAAATGAAGAGGACGTAACAACTAAAGAAGTAATTACTATAATAAGTCAGTCAGTCAGTCACGTTTGCAATAAAACTTGTGCCAAGTTATTTGTTGATATACAGTTCAGGCTAGATATAATTCAAATTGGCTAAACTTTCTAGGAACGATAATAGTGTAAATCATTTGTATGGAAGGAAGTTTAATCAATGGAGTCAGTGTTAAAAACGATTAAACAATTAAAGTTCCTATAATCTCACTTGTGGAATGGGATATACATGCAGGTATAAGCAGATTTGTCTTCTCAGTCAAGCAGGCTTCGATGCGGCGAATAAAGGATAGGAGCGATTTTGTTTCACGGAAAGATTTCGGTATATTATTCCGGTCCAAGAAATTCACTAGAATGAATTTATTTAATTAATGGCAAAGAGTTACAGATGTTATAACTAAGCGTTTCTGAATATTGAATTGCTTCATTGAATGTAAATGATAGTTATATAATATACCCTTGTGGGCCAGAGTAATTTTACATTGGTTTTCAGGAGAACCAGACACCATCCAGACCTTCACGTGACAACCCAAACAGTATAGATCAATCCCGTTTAACAGGAGAGTCAGAAACCACCCAGGCTTCAATTTTGTAACCCGAGCAGTACAGCTCAATCCCGCTTCATAGGAGAACCAGACACCGTATAGGCTTTAACGCTACAATCTGAATAGTAAAGCTCAATCCTGTGGCGCAACCACACAGGTACCAAGCACCCTGGTGGACCATTCGCATCATTCATATACACATTCACGTCACATGTACAGTTATTCCGATCAATGATCGCGTGAATCAATTATGCACAGCACGAACAAGCCAAAGCTAACCTATTCCGCTTACACAACAATCAAACTCATTTATGTTAGCAATGGCGACATGCCTTACAATGTCCCAATGATAATAGCCCTTGAGAACACTGAAAAGCAACCACCAGTATGAATGAAATCGGTTAACCAGCAAACCACCTTTGTGCATGAACAGTCGGCAAAACTTGCCAAAGCAATGCCGAACCATCCATAATACCAATGGCGAACCTCCAGTCTCATATGAGACCTTCAGCTCTACATAGCCATATAGCTTTATTAGATATTTTGAAGAAAAAGACCATGCTAAATTTGAGTCTTCTCTACCATTAATGGTAGAGTCCAAGATTACTACATCAAGATTCATAATCTAAGCTACAGTCGATTCAAAGTATAAATAGTCTTTGAACGGATCCCAACCTTAATTTATCCATTAAGCGAACACTACTAAGAATAAACGTTCAGTATTCTGTCAGTGGTCAAACAGATACTTTGTGCATTAAAATATGTGACTCATTATTATAGAAGCTGCCAATTATGTAACTCAGAAGACGTTGGTACTTGGAGGTTTGTTTTGTGACTTGTTTCAGGAAAGACGATTTGTAGGAATACCTGAGTCCTAAGTCCATTACTGTATGAAAATTGGATAACGCCTTACCATTTATGGTTATGCTAGTTACTGAATATTCGTTATCCAAACGAATTTTTAAATAATAAGGCAGGGTTGTTACGATTATTAATTAGTTAAGAATAATTATTGATGTGAACAAATGCTTAGTTGTACATACACCAATTGAAGTACTCATAGTAGACTGTTTATAAAAGCTGTACAACATTTGTGTCTGTTTACAAAAATATAACAATTAACTAATGGAAACTAAACTGGACGATAAGAAACATCAATATCATTATTAGGAAGGATTTAAATGATCCCTTTGTCGACAATCTTGACTGAAGTTTGATCAGCCCTTTTTGATATATGTTCATCTTATGCTGAATGCGTTGATAAAGCTACTTTTCATGAGTTTTTATAGAACTGTAAAGTATTCACGAATTTGACTAAAAGCAATCTGTTATATAATAAAGACTACTTCTGTGATTATAATATAGTATGAAAACATGAAAACATTGATCACTCAAGTACATTTGATTTTCTATAATAACGCTTAGGTGTACTTTTCATTAGTGACTTTTAAAAACCGTTAACAAACAATGTAGCACAAGTGTAGTACACGAGAATACAGACGGGAACAACTAGATGTATTTTTATACATTACAGAATATCTTGGTAAAATCTGAAGACCATACAGTAAATACTTCATTTGCAAAATGTCCATCAATTGTGTAAGAATTTATTATTCCTTCGTTCCTGTACCAATCACTTTCTGTTATCGTTCTCTTCTCTTCGATCTTTTCAACCTTCCACCGCCAGATATTCTACTTTCTATCGGTCATACATACTACATATATCTGTTGACATCAGTAGCACACACTACACTAGTAACTTCACCATCAGTGTATTTTACTAAATTTATTGTTTTGCTTGTAATGCTTTATAAACCAGACACTATCTTGAATTTCTCCACCATCTTTCAGCAGTTAAGATCAAATTTTTATAAAGATTGAAAATAGTTTACATTACAGATTGAATTCAATTAAATAACAATGCAAAACGATAGGAATCGCAACTTCTGGAAGGCAACTTTGTAGTTAAAGCTAACTTGCTGACTGAGAAGTCGGAAAGTTCTGATATCTATTCACAATAATATTGTATATGAACATTATTGAGTAGTTACACGAAACTATTACTTAATAATGGCCAATATCATCCCACCTAATCCTTCAAATGATTATCTAATTCTCTCAATTGAGTTAAAGTATGACAAGTAGTCTGAGTGCATCAGCATCATGTGCACTGTGTTTTCACGTTTGCTGGTTGGAAATCATCTGAAATAAACCCACGAACTATGTTTCTTCCTATGCCGATTTCATCTGTAAGCCCTATATGCACTCATGTAGGAAATGGATAGCTCAGTAGAAATGTTCATGGTTGAGCTCCTGAGTGAGGGGTGTTAAAATTTCAAAAAGATGGTCTTTTCCATCAAGATTATAGGCATCCCTTGTTGACATCATCATCATCATCATCATCATCATCATCATCATCATCATCATCATCATCATCATCATCATCATCATCATCATCATCATCATCATCATCATCATCATCATCATCATCATCATCATCTCATCATCATCATCATCATCATCATCATCATCATCATCATCATCATCATCATCATCATCATCATCATCATCATCATCATCATCATCATCATCATCATCATCATCATCATCATCATCATCATCATCATCATCATCATCATCATCATCATCATCATCATCATCATCATCATCATCATCATCATCATCATCATCATCATCATCATCATCATCATCATCATCATCATCATCATCATCATCATCATCATCATCATCATCATCATCATCATCATCATCATCATCATCATCATCATTTTATGAAATTTATTCATTTCATCAAAACAAATCAAACTGAAATCAGTGATTGTTATAATAGAATTTATTGTTGTACCATTGAACTATAGAAATCTAGCCGATCATTTCCTATAAAAAGTTATTTTTGCGCAGAGGTACGTATGTGTGTCCTGTTAAAACAGTCAAACTGATAAGAATTTTATATGTAACGTAATAGAAGTATAAAACAGTTACCGATATGAAATGCCAATCAAGATGTCTGAAAATCTTTGTTGAATCTAATTAATCACCTTATCTTGATACAATTTTTTGAATGACATATAGAAATATAGAAATAAAACCATATATATTCCATCTGCTAAACAAGGTCAATAGATACCTGAATATTTTAGCTTAGAAACGTTCATTTAAATATTTTTAAAAGTTTGAGAGCCATTGAAACTTTACAAAATCTATCTCAATTTTTATTTACTGTGTTCAAAAACTGCTTAATTTAGATTCGAATAGTTGATGTCGAATGTGAAACAGGTATGCACTTCAGGCAATGGATGAATGGTTTCGCAAGATCATGAACCGATTGAAGCCACACATTAACACCATTGGATACCAGCTGATTGGATTAGATGTCAAGCGTTCGCAAGACTGAGGTCCTTGGTTCGGGTTGTATGTGTGTGGAATCGTGGATACGTACTACTGAAGAGTCCCATACTAGGACGAAACGGCCGTCCAATGCTTCCATGTTTTCAATGTTGAGCTAGCTTAGATCGACTCATGAACTCAATTGTTGAGTTCAATGAATGGTGTAAATGCTTGAAATAATTGTCACTAATTAAACACTTTCACTGTCTAACAAATTTCAGATTGTGACATGGTTGAACTACACTGGCCAAGGTTTCTGACTAGAACTCCAAGAAATACATCTTAAAGCCAGTTACAAGTGAGCTCATAATGATTATGATTAGAAAGAGGGATTTTTGATATTGTAGTGATTGTGGACGGTGGCGCAATTTCGTGGATTGTTTGGAGTTTGAAATTAACACAGGCTTAGTGGTCTAGAGGCTAAGTGTCCACTCGCGAGAACGAGAGTCCTGGGTTCGATTCCCGTGTGGGGGATCATGGGTGTGCATTGCTGAAGATTCGCATAGTAGGATGAAGCGGACGTTCAGTGCTTTCAGGTTTTCCGCGGTGATTTAGCTTTAATCAACCCATGAATTCAACTATTAAATAACTACAATCTACACAAAACCTCATTTCTTATATTGTAGTCATTGCTTAACTAATATATTACTGATAGTATTGAATGATGTCCGCTTAATTCTTTAAACGGATAAAAGTTTGGAATGTAGATCATTGGCTCATGATTCAGTGATTCGAAACATACAGTACTCAGCTTTTGACTTAAAGGTCATACGTTTTATTCTATGAATGAACTTTTACGCTGACAAACAAAAGATTTTAAATTATTAGAAAGTAATGTAAATTAACATTAAAATAAATAATTTTCATAAATGTAAACTTTGATAAATATTAGTACAGTGTGAACAAGCATGATGTAACGAAATACTCTCATTGATAGCATAGTAACAAAAACAAAAAAATATTGTCAGTACAGGGTTGTAGAGATTATTAAGTTTTTGATTGAGATCATGAATCGATTAATGTTAGAACACCATAGAAAACCTGGAAGCACTGGATGGTCAATTCGTCTTATTGTGCGCATCCACGATCCCATGAGCGGGATCACAATGAAAAACAAAAATATTGATTTAAATAAACTAGCTGATTATCAGATAGTTATCAATGAAATATTGTAATGAAATCAAGCGTTAAAACGACCCTTTGGTCATGTTCTCAATGTAACTGTTATAACTTGTGAACCTGTGTGCCTCATTTATTGTATAACGCAACGATACTGCTAATCAGAGAGTGGCGAATTATCGATCGAACCAGTGACGCATAAAACATGTGCGAGCAGCCTACAGTCCTTATTGATCTCGCTTCCTGTCTAGCCGAGCCAGTTAAGTCCAGAACACAAATCTCAGCCTCTGCAATATCAATCATTTATTTCAAACATACGGGGTTTATATACCAATCAAACCAACCACAACGTACCATAAAATAGAAAATAACATTTGTACAATATTTGGCCAGAAGTGGCTGTGAATGAGGGAAGTAGTGATTAACAGACAGGGAATAATTCAAGAATAGTAAATCATATAATAATAGTTCATAGATCAAAATAAAACTCATAATAAGAGGGGTGTGAATATGAACAGTTTATTTGCATAACGATTACACGATAAAAATATACTCATACTATTGCTCCATAGATGGATCCCAAAAATTACCATTCATTATTCTTATCGGGATATAACAATAACTATTTGGTTAAGTAAGTATAAACTATATAACTTATAATACTTAATTCACAATTATTGGAATAAATCAAAGAAAATTCATTCAGTTACATGAATGGATCCTTAAAAGTTATCATTCATTATGCTAATCGAGACCTAACAAGAATAAATGTTTCATTTGTTCAATGATACATTATGGATTAACCAATGATACTAAAAGATTTTTATGAAATAAATCAAGAGTAATAGGTCTTTTTCTGAAATTAAATGGTGGCTGTAGGCAGTCGACAGGAAACCTTGGACCCGGGTTTCGTGCTACTTGGCACTCGTCAGCAAGGTGTACCTGTAATCTTGAGAGAACTGGTTCTCCCTGGCAGATTCGATCTCGTGTCACTGCCATCTAATCTCAATATATAGTGCCCGCAATGTCGAGTCACCTAGACTGATGGTCACATTGCAACATGATCGATAGCACTCGATCTGCACTAATAAGGACTAGACACGCATAACAGTAATCGCCACTCAGTGATTAATCTATTGTGATTAGATCTTTTCCTGTTTATTCAAATTACTGAATAAACATTCATTTAACTATAATGAACCAGTAGGTTAGTTGAATTTATTTATTTATTCAGTTACTTAATTCGAATTATAAATATTGATTAATATGAACAGTTTTCTATTTTCATCAGTTCAGTTTACCTTCTATAATAATGATTCATAAACTATTGTCTATTTTTATGACTATTATTACTACTATTATTATATGAATGAGTAGTATATGAACCAGTTAACTTCAAATAACTATTTAGGTCATTTTATTCTATTAATAAAAAGAGAGAGAGAGAGAAAGAGAGAAGTATTTTCGTCTATTTTTCTTTTATTTATTATTTCCTATGAATGAATTCATACAAACTTAGCCTAGTTCAAATAGGTGTGGTTTACAATTTGACAATAATAATAATTGGGAAGTTATGTTAGTTATATATTCAATCTATAATTTTAATAGGCGTTTTATTCCTTTTTCTTTTTCTTCTAAAAAAACAACTCAATGAATTTATTTATTTTAAATTAATTTTTCCAAAGAAGAAAGAACAAGTGAAGTCGTTTCAATGAAGAAAAAATCTTCACAGATTGAACTCATGAGTCAGTTGAAGCTAGACCACCATTGAAAACCTGGAAGCACTGGACGGCCGTTTCGCATCTTCCAGGTTTTCAATGGTGGTCTAGCTTCAACTGACTCATGAGTTCAATCTGTGAAAATTTCTAAAAATCTCCACAAAACACATTCTGAAGAAAAAATCGTTTTTTTTTTTCGTTTCGACGAGTTCTCTTCGTTGGAACGTCTTCATTGCTTGCTTTTTGTTTTTTACCGGTATAGAGGTTGTGGAGATTATTAAGTTTTTGATTGAAATCATTGATGTTAGGCCACCGTTGGAAACCTGGAAGCACTAGACAGCCATTTCGTCCTACTGCAGAACTCCTCTGCAATGTGCATCCACGGTCCCGCTAGCGGGATTACAACCAAAGGCCTTCAGTTTCGCGTGCGAACGCTTAACCTACTGGACCACTGAGCCAATATCCAGTGGTGTTAGTGTCTAACATCAAACAATCCATGAGATTGCGCGACCATCTTCCATTGTACTGAGGTAGATACCTGTCTCTACCCAACATGGATTAGCTCCACTGGTCACGGCTTCTTACTAGAACTCCGAGAATCCCCTTACGAAACTAGTTACTAGTGCTGATTTTTGATGAATTATTCGGTCGCTTTCGTTGTTTTTTTCTCTCGCTAAATAGTTAAACTATACAAGCAAAAAATTAGCACATTTAGAGATATCCCAGTGAGTTGAAATAAATAAATTTTCTGATGTTTCCTAACTTAGTGTAGACTTCTTTCTTCAGAGAATAAATATTCAAATCAAACTTAATCCCAGTTTAAATAGTACAAAGAAACAACGTAAGCGTATTATATGCAATCACTCAAAAAACAGGTCTGAACAATTCAATGTTATGTCATTTCGGTCAAGGTACTGATAAACAACCCTTTTAATAGACTGAGAATACAGAAAATTTTTATGATGTTTGTAAATGATTGGTATAGTGTTGCAGAGATAGTCAAGTTTGGATTGAGATCATGAACCGATTAATTTTAGAAAATTATTGAAAACCTGGTAGCACTGGACGGCTATTTCATCCTACTATTGGACACCTCAGGAGTGCGCATCCATAAAAGACAATGGAAGACGGTCACATAATATCGTGAATCGACTGAAGTTAAACATTACCACCGTTGGATGATGGCTCAGTGGTCTAGAAGTTAGGCGTTCATGTACAATATCGAAAATCCTGAGATCAAATCCTGTGCACGGGATCATGGGTGTGGACTGTTGGAGACTTTAACGCTAGGACTAAATGGCCGTCTAGTGCCTTCATGTTTTCGATCGTGGTCTAACACTGATCGATTCATGATCTCAATATAAAAATGATTTTTTACCATTAAAAGACAGTATGAAAACAAATGGCATTATATCGTGCTGTTATTTAATATCGAAACACACAAGAGTACCCGGCTTTTCAAGTATCTACTTTTTACATGGGAAAAATGACTTGGATGCTCTAAATGAAATCATAGTTTCTAACTGCTCCGTAGACTGACTCTCCAATCTATATTTATTCGTTTGAAATAAACGAAATTTCATAATTCACATTTTTTAAGCTGAGTTTTTGTAATTCACTCTGTTTCATTTTGA